AGATCACAATAAATAAGAAAGACGAATACAATGCACAAAACTTCATGTTACAAGAATTCTAACAACGATAGGGTATTAGTACAAAATTAACATAAGCAAAACACAATTACATAGTATTTTCAAATCACATTAATAACAACACATCGATAGGATATAATTATTATTAATGCAATATATAATTATATAATTTACACAAGTCATGTATAAATGGTCTCACGATAGGTGGGATTACATTTATACAGAATAATCATGCATTCAGAATTAATTTAAATATGTATATTATGCATGAAATCATAATTATACCAAAATTACATCAAATAATTTATATAAAACTATTTTTTTTAACATATATGACATCCAAAAAGAGAGCGAATAGTATAAAAAAAATGTCATAAATATCAAATATTAGTATAATCATGTATATAAAAAAAATTGGATCATATTCCATCAATACAATAATTATTTAATCAATTTAGGCACGAGTTAATTAATTAAAAAATATTTATAGTGTCTAAAAAATTATAAAAATTGTCCAAAAAATTTAATATCAAATCGACGCTCTCTCAGCCACGCGAGGGGGCTTCATACACTTAAAAAAAAACCCATCAGCTGCAAAACGGGTCAAACAAATTCAAAAACTCGACCTAGTTCAATCTTGCATTCTAAAGTACCAATTCATATTGTTATAAAGGGTGTATTTTGAACAACAAAAGAGAGTTTAAAAGGTTAAAACCCTTGCAGCCATGGAGGATTCAAAGTAATTAAGAATTCAAGCAACCCAAACAGTTTCTTTCAACGAGTAGGGTCCACTACGTTCTTTGCAAAAATAGGGCAATGACGAACGCAAAATGAAAGAAAGAATAAATTCTCAATCTAAAATTGAACGAAATAATGAATTAATTATTAAATTATGTTCGTGTTCAATTTACTAACAAAAGCCCTTAATCAATTTTTTAAATAAACCTTTGCCCTGATGAGAGAATTTGAAAGAAAACGATTTTAGGGTTCATAGTTTCAAAAAATTAATAAAGTGGGAAATTCTCTTAACATACCCGATGAAAATTAACAATTTTTAGATATGATATTTATGAATATAAGAAGAACAAAAAAAACCTAAATTATTTTCCAAATCCATACATAAAATTATAGCATTTTGGTTGCTCAAAGTTGGAAAATTACGATGTGTATTAAGTTGGCTCTGATACCATTTGCAAGAATTTTAAATATAAAATTAAAGATAACACAATTAAACACAATTATATATAATACACATCATAACAACTCAATACAATTCTAACTATATATAATTGAATAATTGCGTTAAACGCGTACCTGATGAACCCACGAGTCATAAGCAATCCTGATGAAAACCCATGAGTCATAAGCAATCCTTGTTTTGAGTGAGCGTGTACTACTCTCTTATCTGATTATTTTCAAATCACATTTATCTGATCAAAATAAGATGTTCTGATTTATGTTGTCCAAGTGGGAGATAAATTGTTGAATATTTTGTGTGGACTAACATAAATCAAATTTTGTTATAACTTGAATTTAATTATAGAATAATAAAATCCATTTATGGTTTGAAGTAAGTTTCTAGACAATGGTACTTGAAGTTTGACCAAGTGGTCACTTCTATTAGCTTCAAGGAAAATGCTTGAGATCTGTGCATTTACTTGAAGATGAGTGGGAGCAATTTTATCATCTTTGTCGTACATGTTGATGATATCTTTGAATGAGACAAAGAATATATTGAGTAGCCATTTTGATATGAAAGACCTTGATGATGCTTATGTTATTCTAGGCATCCAGATATGTTGTGATAGGTCTTGTGTTACTCTTAGATTGTCTTAGAAAGGGTACATTGATAGGATCCTTAAAAGGTTTAATATGTATTCTTACTCCCTATGTGTCGTGCCTGCTCAAAGGGGTGAGAAACTCTCTAATTTTTTGGTGTCCTCATGATGATAAAGAGTTGTTTGAAATGGAGAAAGTTTCATACGCTTCTGCTGTTGGGAGTTTGATGTATGCTTAAGTTTGTACTTGTCCCGATATTGCTTATGTTGTTAATGCTTTGGATAAATACATGAGCAACCCATGTTTGGGTCATTGGAAAGCCGTGAAGAAGGTCTTGAGATATTTGCAGGGAACCAAAGATTATATGTTGACCTATGCGAAGTCTAATCAACTTCAGGTCATTGGATACTCTGATTTTGTAGGTTGCCCTGATGACTGTAAGTCTACTTCAGGCTTTATTTTTATGATGGCGGGAGGAGTTGTATCTTGGAAAAGTGTCAAATAGATAGTTATAGCTACTTCTACTATGAAAACAAAGTATGTCGCTTGTTATGAGGCTACCCGCTAGCCTATGTGGCTAAAGAATTTAATTTCTGGCTTCTGCATTATTAAAAGTATATTTAGGCCACTTGTGATTTATTGCAACAATACTGCTGCTGTACTTCTCTCTTAGAATAATAAGAGTTCTACTCGTTTGAAACACTTTGATCTAAAGTATTTGTTTATTAGAGAGAAAATACTTGAGTTTTAGACTCAAATTGTGTACATTGCTACAAAGAACATGTTAGCATATCCACTAACCAAAGGCTTTACCATTGGAGCTTTTTTTGAATCATGTAGCTCACATGAGTCTGGTCAAGTCTTTTGATATTCTGGATTAGTGGGAGTTAAATTTTGTATTTGTTTGTTGACATTATTATCTAATTTCTTTATGAGATATATGTTTTGTTGACGTCACTTTTATGACAATCTTTTTATACTTGGACCTTTGTGGAAATGATATTTACGTTTCCTTTGTCTATATTATGATTAGAATATAAATTGCTTGTAGTATGTAATGTATATCCCTATCGGATATAATTGTATACTATCGAGAGCTTATTATTTCTTTGGTGATAATTAATAACTTGTTACGACAACATAGTTTGTGAACTTAGTAATTTAATAATGCTATCTAAGTGGGAGAATGTTAGATTTTTTAACATTAATATTAATATTTATATTAATTTATGGATTAGCATTATTAAATTATTATGGTTATATTGTTATTAATTATGACGTAAAATAAATGTGTATAATAATAATTATTATTATTATATAGATTTTGTAATTGGGCTCTTAGTGTGAATAATACATGATGGGTTGCGTCACGACCCCTTTTTATAAGGAACCGAGAACATTGTTTGTACATCACATACTTATTTAAGATAAATAAATAATAGAGAATATAAGTATGAAATTTTCTTCTCAATTAAAATAAAATAAAGTTTCTTACAACAAATATTCAACGGAACAACATAATATTACATTTAGTTCATAATATTCAAAATACCCAAAATTATACTACGTAGCTTCCTCTACATGAGGTCTCAAAATATAAGGAAAAAGGACTTTGATGCAATATTACTCGACCCCAGCTTCAATCATTTCTTCACTGGCTCCTCAGCCTGTGAAGTTGATGCAACACCTACTACATCTGCTCACGTACCACCGTACGATCATCGCAGTACACACACACAACGACATAGAAAGATATGCAAGGGTGAGCTTACAAAAATAAAATAAAATCATGTATATAGAGCAAAATATTTCTCACAGCAATAGCCCCATGCATTTCCAGCCCATCTAATGCACAGCATGAAAACGGTTTTCAACTGGTTTCACAGCCTAAGTAATCCAGAAGGAACTGAGCCGGTCTGGGAGCGACCCATTCCGGTATCTGGATCCAGATAGCACAGTACAGCAGCTCAGCATGAACTTACCGTTACATGTCTACCCACCTAAACATGTAACTCGGCTCTATAATGATGCAAAATATATATCTCAGCATGATGCACACCGCCAATGTTATTTTAACAGCTCAACTAAAGCAAGTTTATAATAGATCAGCCAAAATCTCAGCATTTTAAATCAATTAACAGCAGTTACAGCTTAGAAAATAGCTTTTATTCAAAAGATCTAACAAAATCATATCAAAACATCTTGAAATAGCATATTAAACCGTTCAAAACATAGTTCATAGGTTAAAGTAAACTCTCCTTACCTCAAAAGATGATTCACACTAGATCTACTGAATATTACTTGTTTTAATGCAAGATTCACCGAAGATTCGGCTTTAGAACGGAGTTTCTCCTAAGAACACCATGAACTTCTATGAGAAAGAGGAGGAGAAGAGAAACGAACGGTAAATCTAGCTTCAAACTTAAAGAAACTTACTTCAAATGCTTCAGAATAGACGTAGAATCTCAGATCTGACAAGAAATCTAAGTTTAGGAAGGTTTAGTATGAGAGAAATGGTGGTATTTGGCCTTAGAACCTTTGAGAACCTTGGATAGAGGTGAAGAAATGAAAATTTCGTGTAAGGCCTCCTTTTTATATAAAATTTTTGAAATTTACTGTTCACCGCCTTACTGTTCACGCCGGAAACACTGTTCAGGGCACTATTCACGCCGAAAAATATTGTTCACGCGTTAGCCATGACGTCATGATGATGTCACTGATGACATCAGCAGTCACTGTACATACGCGGTTTTCACTATTTATACGCGGTTTGCACTGTTCATACACGGTTTGTACGTAGTTTGCACTGTTCATAGGCGGTTTTACTGTTCATCTAACAATGTTCATACGGTACTGTTCACTTTTTTTTTTTTTTTAAATAATTTCAAACTCCATCTAAATATATTCCAATACCAAATAATCCTTCAATTAACATTTAACAAGTATAAAATATTATATATTACTCAATAATAAATCTCTAGCATGACAATTCTCCCCCTAAAAATAAATTTTTGTCCTCGAAAATTTCATCGCTCAGAGAAAAGATGAGGGTACAACTCTCTCATTCTTTCCTCTAACTCCCATGTGGCATCACCAGTTACTGGGTCCCTAATAACCTTTACTAACCGAATAGACTTGCCTCTAAGTTCCTTAACTCTAGTATCCTCGATACGAGCAGCTGGGACCTCCACAGACAAATCATCTCATAACTCCACAACATCAGGCTCAATTACATGAGACGAATCAGAAACATACTTTCTTAGCTGCGACACATGGAAAACATTATGTAGTCCTGACAACCGAGGTGGTAACGCTAATTCATAGGCTACTGGTCCTCTACGATGTAATATCTGATACGGTCCTATAAACTTAGGTGTTAACTTCTTGGCTCTTAAGGCTCGCCCCACACCTGTAGTGCGTGATACTCTCAAGAATACGTGATCACCAACCTCAAATTCTAGGGATCTTCTGCGTCGGTCAGCATAAGATTTCTGTCGACTCTGGGTGGCTCTCAACTTTTCTCTAATAAGTTCAACTTTCTCCTTAGTTTCTTGCAGCATTTTAGGTCCAACCATCAAATGTACTCCATCTTAGAACCAACAGATAGGGGTTCTACACCTTCTGCCATACAGAGCCTCAAATGGTGCCATATCTATAGTCGAATGATAGCTATTATTATAAGTGAATTCTACCAAAGGAAGCATATCCTCCCAATTACTTCTCTGCTCTACAATACAAGTCTGCAATAAGTCTTCTAAGGTCTGAATAGTACGCTCAGATTGACCATCTGTCTGCGGATGATATGCAGAACTCAACCTCAATTGTGTGCCCATAGCTTCTTGGAAACTCTGCCCAAACTGGGAAGTGAATCGAAGATCCCCTATCAAAGATAATACTAGAAGGTACTCCGTGTAACCTGACAATCTCTCTAATGTACAATTCTGCTAATTTCTTCAAGCTAAAGGTCATGTTAATTGGCAAGAAATGCGCACTCTTGGTTAGCCTATCAACTATGACCCACACGACATCATGATTTTTAACTGTTCTAGGTAGATGGGACACAAAGTCCATAGTCACATGGTCCTTCTTCTACTCTGGAATTTCCATTGTCTGCAACTCTCCTGGAGGGCTTTGGTGCTCCGCCTTTGCCTTCTGGAAAGTCAAACAAGCTTTAACAAATTCAGCTATCTCTCGCTTCATGCCTGGCCACCAAAACATCTGCTTTAGATCTTGATACATCTTGGTAACACCAGGATGAATGTTGAGATTACCCTTATGTCCTTCTTCTAGAATTGCTTTCTTTAATTCAGTATCTCTAGGGACACAAACTCGACCTTGGCATTTGAGAATACCATCAGCACCTTTACTAAAACCCTTTGCTTTATCTGTCCCTAAGAGAAATACAATCCGACATAACATCGGATCCCACAGTTGTTTGTCTTTAATTTCTTGTAAGAAATTATTAGTCACCACAATTCGGCTGCAACTAATCTTTTCAGGTGATAAATCCACATGTATGTTCAGGTCTTGGAATTGTTCTACCAAAAGGGTTTCACTAACTCTTAAGGAGAATGCCTGAACCACATTCCTACTTAATGCATCGGCCACCACGTTAGCTTTTCCTGGATGGTATTGGAGCTGAAAATCATAATCCTTAAGGAATTCCACCCAACGTCTCTGCCTCATATTTAACTCTCGCTGATCAAATAAATACTTCAGACTCTTGTGATCACTATATACATCAAACTGAGCTCCATAAAGATAGTGCCGCCATACCTTTAGAGCAAAGACCACAGCAGCTAACTCAAGGTCATGAATCGGGTAATTTCGCTCATGAGTTCGCAATTGGCGAGATGCATAAGCTACCACTCTCTTATCTTGCATCAACACACATCCCAATCCCTGATGGGAAGCATCATAGTACACCTCGAACGGTCGACTAGTATCAGGGAGAATTAACACTGGCGAGGAAGTTAATCTATGCTTCAACTCATTAAAGCTTTGTTCACATTCCTCAGTCCATACAAAGGGTTGATCACGGCGAGTTAACCATGTTAATGGTGCAGCTATCTTCGCAACTCCCTTTATAAATCTTCGGTAGTAGCCTGCTAGGCCCACAAAACTATGAATCTCTGTGGCTGTCTTAGGCCTTTCCCACTGCAACATCGCTTCAACTTTGGAAGGATCAACTGCAATTCCCTTAGCGGATATAACATGGCCAAGGAACTTCACTTCCTCTAGCCAAAACTCACACTTAGACAGTTTAGCATACAATTGTTTCTTCCTTAAAACACTAAGTACAGTCCTCAAATGCTCTGCATGTTCCTCTGACGAACTAGAATAAATCAAAATATCATCAATAAAGACTACCACAAATCGATCCAGGAAAGGTCTAAAGATCCGATTCATGTAGTCCATAAACACAGCTGGAGCATTTGTGACTCCAAAAGGCATCACTATATACTCATAGTGGCCATATCTAGTGCGAAAAGCAGTCTTAGGAATATCTTCATCCTTCACTCGAATCTAATGGTACCCAGACTTCAAATCAATCTTAGAGAATACCTTAACACCTCTCAGCTGGTCCATCAAATCATCAATTCGCGGCAACAGGTACTTATTCTTAATTGTCAACTTATTTAACTTGCGATAATTAACACATAATCTAGAACTTCCGTCTTTCTTTTTCACCAAGAGAACTAGTGCTCCCCAAGGCGATACACTCGGCCTAATCATCTGTTTCCGCTTTAGATCCTTGATCTGCTCCTTAAGCTCCATCAACTCTTTCGGCGCCATTCTGTAAGGTGCTACAGACACTGGCTCAGCTCCAGGAATCAAATCTATAGAAAACTCCACCTCTCTACGTGGAGGTATTCCAGGAATATCCTCTAGAAAAATCTCAGGGAACTCTCGTACTACTGGTATTGACTGAAGGCTTTGCTCCACTTCTGCATTCATAACTCCCAACAAAACAAAACAAGATACTCCCTCACCTAAGGATGTTTCTACCTGGCGAGTAGAAATTAATTCCACACAGCCTTGCTGCTTAGGAAAGATTAAACACCTCCGGCCACAATCAATTAGCACACGATTGGCAGTTAGCCAATCCATACCCAGGATTACATCTAACCCTGACATTGGGATACAAATAAGGTTTACTTTGTACTTTCGTCCCTCAATTACTATTGGGCACCTAACACAAACCGTTGACGTCTTAATCGAACTTAAAGTAGGTGTCAATACTACCAATTCACATCCTAGATCGCTCACTGGTAACCCTAAGGTTCTCACACAAATGTCTGCAATAAAAGAGTGCGTGGCTCCAGAATCAAACAATACAGAAAGAGAAGTACCTGCCACTACCGCTGTCCCCTGGACGAGATCCATTGCTTGAGCTGCCTCTGATGCAGAAGTAGTGAATACACGTCCCTCTGCTCTCGATCTGGTTGTCGTTGGAGCTCTAGTCGCTTTAGGTCTCACAGCGTGCAAGGCGCTAGCAGAAGACGAAACTGCCCCACTAGGCGTAGGACAGTCCCTAGCAAGATGCCCTGGCTGCTGGCACGAGAAGCAAACCCTGACATCAGCCTGTGGGCACTGGCTCAGGTAGTGTGGCCCACCACACCTGAAACATCTGACAATCTGCGGCACTGAGACTCTAGGAGCAGAAGAAGTTGCTCCCCCAGGCTGAAATGCAGAAGTAGCAGTCCCTATTGGCACCGGGGCTGATGCTGCCAATCCTCTCGACTGAGATGGTCGAGATTGTTGTTGGCGTAGCGACCGACTGTAGGGGCCCTTCTTAGCACCCTTACTTCCATTACCATAGCTACTAGTAGCTCTACTAGATGGAGCCTTCCCAACTCCACCAACATCCTTTGCGTTAAGACTCTCTATAATGGTGGCTTGATTCACCAAGTCAGCAAACTCCATGATCCTGAGTGGAATCAAAATCCTCTTTATGTCAGTTCTCAGCCCGTCTGAAAACCTCTGACATCTCCACTCCTCCAAGGTCGGGTGACAATTAAATCTGTAAAGCCGCTCAAACTGTATTGCATACTCATAGACTGATGAGTTTCCTTGCACCAAGTTTAGAAACTCCCGCTCTTTGGAAGCACGAACATGGGAAGGGAAAAACTTTCCCAGAAAACTACTTCTAAATACAGCCCAAGTGATGACTTCACCTTGGGCTTCCAGCATAGCACAAGCTCCGTGCCACTACATCTTTGCATCCCCTGTCAGCATATAAGTAGCATATAACACCTTCCTCTCCTCGGCGCAACCCATAGTTAGGAAGATCTTCTCAATCTCCCTGATCCAGAGTTCAGCAGCATCTGGTCCATCCACCCCCGTGAATTGAGGAGGATCATTCTTCCTAAACTCTGACAACCCATGGTATTCAGGAGGAGGTGCAGCTGAGGCAGTAGCTGCTGCTGCCTGTGCTGCTGCAGTGGCTTGGTTTGCAGCTTGCTGCTGCTGAATCATATCTAGACTCTGCCTAACAGTGGCTGCCATAGCCTCAATGGCGTGAGCCATTTGGTTCACGTCAGCAGGAGGAGGAGGGTTTGTAGCAGATCTTCTTGGTCTAGCCATCCTAATATATAGACTAGCTTAGTTTACTAACATTTAATACATTCAGCAATACCATCACATAACTATATTCACAGATTCAGCTTACAGTGATATATTCATATTTAGTATATCATAACAATTTAATCAGTTTAGCACTGAGGATAACATCATATCAACATTCATACAGCATAGCAAACACACTCACCCCAGTATCATATACCAAAATTTCCTACATCTGTCGTGTCTGAGAATCGAGGTGATCAAGCTCGTTCCCTCATAACCTAATGATTAGAAATTATGATATATGATTCACAGCTAAAATTCACATGTCTAATATGCACAACTAACGTCTAACAACCTCACCCCGTAGGTTTACCTAGACCATGCTCTGATACCAATAAAATGTCACGACCCCTTTTTATAAGGAACCGAGAACATTGTTTGTACATCACATACTTATTTAAGATAAATAAATAATAGAGAATATAAGTATGAAATTCTCTTCTCAATTAAAATAAAATAAAGTTTCTTACAACAAATATCCAACGGAACAACATAATATTACATTTAGTTCATAATATTCAAAATACCCAAAATTATACTACGTAGCTTCCTCTACACGAGGTCTCAAAATATAAGGAAAAAGGACTTTGATGCAATATTACTCGACCCCAGCTTCAATCATTTCTTCACTGGCTCCTCAACCTATGAAGTTGATGCAACACCTACTACATCTGCTCACGTACCACCGTACGATCATCGCAGTACACACGCACACAACGACATAGAAAGATATGCAAGGGTGAGCTTACAAAAATAAAATAAAATCATGTATATAGAGCAAAATATTTCTCACAGCAATAGCCCCATGCATTTCCAGCCCATCTAATGCACAGCATGAAAATGGTTTTCAACTGGTTTCACAGCCTAAGTAATCCAAAAGGAACCGAGCCGGTCCGGGAGCGACCCGTTCCGGTATCTAGATCCAGATAGCACAGCACAGCAGCTCAGCATGAACTTACCGTTACATGTCTACCCACCTAAACATGTAACTCGGCTCTATAATGATGCAAAATATATATCTCAGCATGATGCACACCGCCAAAGTTATTTTAACAGCTCAACTAAAGCAAGTTTATAATAGATCAGCCAAAATCTCAGCATTTTAAATCAATTAACAGCAGTTACAGCTTAGAAAATAGCTTTTATTCAAAAGATCTAACAAAATCATATCAAAACATCTTGAAATAGCATATTAAACCGTTCAAAACATAGTTCATAGGTTAAAGTAAACTCCCCTTACCTCAAAAAGATGATTCACACTAGATCTACTGAATATTACTTGTTTTAATGCAAGATTCACCGAAGATTCAGCTTTAGAACGGAGTTTCTCCTAAGAACACCATGAACTTCTATAAGAAAAAGGAGGAGAACAGAAACGAACGGTAAATCTAGCTTCAAACTTAAAGAAACTTACTTCAAATCCTTCAGAATAGACGTAGAATCTCAGATCTGACAAGAAATCTAAGTTTAGGAAGGTTTAGTATGAGAGAAATGGTGGTATTTGGCCTTAGAACCTTTGAGAACCTTGGATAGAGGTGAAGAAATGAAAATTTCATGTGAAGCCTCCTTTTTATAGAAAATTTTTGAAATTTACTGTTCATCGCCGGAAATACTGTTCAGGGCACTATTCACGCCAGAAAATACTGTGCACGTACTGTACGCGTATGTGACGTCAGCTATGACGTCATGATGATGTCACTGATGACATCAGCAGTCACTGTACATACGCGGTTTGCACTGTTCATACACGGTTTGTACGTAGTTTGCACTGTTCATTGGCGGTTTTACTGTTCATCTGACACTGTTCATACGGTACTGTTCACTTTTTTTTTTTTTTAAATAATTTCAAACTCCATCTAAATATATTCCAATACCAAATAATCCTTCAATTAACATTTAACAAGTATAAAATATTATATATTACTCAATAATAAATCTCTAGCCTAACAGGTTGGACTATTCTATGTGCCTAGTGAGAGGTTTCTGCTCTCATCTGATTAGGCTTATATAACTGTTGCCCCATTAGACAGTTACTAGTTTGGGATAATAGCAATCAGATAAGAGAGTAGTACACGCTCACTCAAAACAAAGATTGCTTATGACTCATGGGTTTTCATCAGGATTGCTTATGACTCGTGGGTTCTCATCAGGTACGCATTTAACGCAATTATTCGATCATATATAGTTGGAATTGTATTGAGTTGTTATGATGTGTATTATATATAATTGTGTTTAATTATGTTATCTTTAATTTTATATTTAAAATTCTTGCAAATGTATTAAGTTGGCTCTGATACCATTTGCTTATCACCCTCAAACCGATGGACAATCGGAAAGGACTATCCAAACTTTGGAAGATCTTCTATGAGCCTGTATGCTTGAGCAAGGAGGCCATTGGGATCAAAATGTTCCATTGATCGAATTCACATATAACAACAGCTATCATTCAAGTATTGGCATGGCACTATATGAAGCATTGTACAGACGTCGATGTCGAACGCCTCTGTGCTGGTACGAGACAGCGATAATTTGCTTATTGGCCCTGACATAATCCAAGAAACTTCCAAGAAGATCAAGGAAATTCAAGAGAAAATGAAGATGGCCTAAGATCGACAAAAGAGATACCATGATAAACAAAGGAGACCCTTAGAATTTGAGGAAGAAGACCATGTATTTTTGAAAGTGAGCCTGACTACCGGAGTGGGTAGAGCTCTAAAATCTCGCAAACTCCACCCGAAATTCATTAGTCCCTACCAAATTCTGAAGAAGATTGGAAATTCAGCTTATCGAATCGTGCTACCTTTGGAATTATCCAATCTCCACAATGTATTTCACGTCTCTCAACTTCGTAAATACATTCCCGACCCTTCACACATAGTGGTACCTGACCAAATTACCTTGAAGGAGAACCTGACTTTTGAAGTTGAACCTTTTCGGATCAGTGATCGAAAGGTTAAGCAACTTAGGAATAAAGAAATATCTCTAGTGAAGGTGCATTGGAATGCAGACAACGTGGAAGATGCCACGTGGGAAAGAGAAACTGACATGAAAAGCGCTTATCCGCGACTACTCGACTCAAGTTAGAAATTTCGAGGACGAAATTTTTCTAAGAGGGGTAGTTTTGTAACGCCCCAATTTTTGTAAATTAGCTAGTAGCTCTTAGATTTTAATTATTATCTGATTCTGGCTTGCTAGCGTTGGAATAATTAGATAGATGCTGAATTTTATTTTTTAGAATATTGATTTATTTCTGAGTTCAGCATTTTAGGATAACTGCATGCAAAATATTTGGTTCCAATATCGTCAAAAAATTTCCCTAATATTATTCAGCAGTACTGTCTAAAATACCCCTGAGAGATTTATCCGAAAAGTCAATTTCTGTCTTATTTAAATAATTGTCAAATCATAAGTATCTGTCTCAAAAAACGTGAGATTTTCTAATCATTACAAAGATTTAGTAATGATTTCTTAGCCGCCAAAATTGTTGCATGAAATTCTGTGAGATCTAGTAATCATTATCTCTAAGATTTCCAAATCTAGCATTGGCCACTAGATTTTCATGCAAACAAACCTTGTCCCCCATTTTACAAACATCGTGATTGCCCAAATATTCCAAAATCTAGTATTGGCCACTAGAATTCCATGCACAAGATTTTGTCTCCCGATTTGCCGGCAAAATCACTTTGGAACATTCTCTTGTCTTCCAAATTGTCGACACCATAATTATTCTAACTAATCACATTCTCTTGAATTTAGCACCACATCAAAAGTCTCGTCCAAGTGACAACCTAGTCATGTCACATTTTTCCCGGCCAACCAAATTTCATGCATTTGCTGTCCAAATCTTACCGTTGGATTTTGGTGCAAATTTTTGGGATTTATGGCATCCAAACTGTGTGCATGCAGCCTAGGTTGTTCCATGCATTTTGCTTGCTGAAATTGCACAAACCTTACTTGCAAGTTTGCCTAAAAATCCACTATTCATACACAAAAAACCGTGACACCTTTCTTGCACCCTTGCACCAATTTCACTTCAATTTTGCACCAATTAAAGCATGTGCAGTTTTTAAATTTTGGAGTCTTACCAAGTAAGCCAAACGTGGGAAGCTTAGTGGCAATTAATCACTCAAAGCCTAGAACCTTCATATAAATTGTTCAATTTTCCCATTTATCCATTTTGTAACTCCAAAACCGAAAACCCTCTCTCTTTTCTCTCACTTATTGATGAATCCATATTTTGACTGATATTTTAGCATAATTCTAACACAAATGATAAGAAAAATATATAAAGAAAGCAGAAAAAACTTAGAAAAAGAGAAGGAATTGAATTTTGTTTACATATGTAGTTATTTTAGCAATTGTGAAATTTTTGCTTAGGAATTAAGTTTTTAATCTTGTTTTTGTAGGAATAAATTGAGCAAGGATCATATTCTTGGAAGTTTGATGACAAGGAAGAGGAAAGAAGCAAGTCTGGACTCCAAAAACTCAAGAATAAGAAATTGCAGACTGGGCGTGATCACTATTGTCAGTGAAAGTGATCACTTCAGAGCTCAAAGAAGAAGTGA